CCTAATGATGGTAGAGCTGGATGATTCTTTTACTCCCTAATGATAGTAGAGCTGGATGATTCTTTTACTCCCTAATGATAGTAGAGCTGGATGATTCTTTTACTCCCTAATGATGGTAGAGCTGGATGATTAACTGCTCACCATAGCTTAATTTACAGAAAGTTTCCAGTTGAAAGAAATACCTTGTTTATGAAGATCAATTTGCTAAAATAGTGTTAATACACTAGTTTATTATTTTTTATAAAAGCACATATACTAATACTTCAATATTCTTTCTATTCAAAGCATTCCTGTACCTTACTCAGTGTTAAAAGTGATTAATTTGTACTTAAAATGGACGAGTGGATTGTATCCTCTGTCGATCTTGGTGGGATGGTTGAAGTGGATGAAAACTCTCTTCAACAATCTATGGATAAAAATAAAGAAGGTAATTACTTTTTTGTATAATAGTTTGGTATGTTTATGTTGTTTTTAAATTGTGTAAGAATTGTTACTATATTTAATATTGATGTAACATTTTAACTTAGTCTGATGCAGTACAAGGAGAGTAAACAAAATGTGTTGTACCTAATGTTAAGAAATATTGTTTGTATGATCAACTAAAGGAAAATATTGGGCTGTAGTGAGAAAAAACAAACTCGCAACCTGTGGGTCATAGGATCGAAAGCCATAACAAAACATGTTTGTTGCCCTTTCATTTGTGTGGTCATTATAATGTGATAATCAGTCCAACTTTTCATTAGTAAAAAGTAGCTCAAGAGTTGACAGTGGGTGGAATTGAATAAACAAACAAAAAGAAACAGGGAATATATTGCACTCTAGCAAGAACAATAAAAACATAATATTAAAGAGGATATTGAACTATAGTAAGAACAATAAAAAGAAACATATGAGACTAGTAAGAACAAAGAGAAACATAGGGAAGATATTTAATAAACTTTAACTTACCTGTATGGTTAGAAGGAATGACATATCATCACATGAGTAAAACATGTTGCATATTTTGGGTTTTGGCAGTCCTCCAATTTTATGGGTGAGAAATTGGTAAAGGTACTTTAAATGTTACAATTTAATGAGTATAAATGTTTCCTACAGACAGTTTATCCTTTTTTATGTTTATGTGAGTGTGTGTGTATACCTAGTTTGGGGTTGAAAGACCTTTTCTGACCTTGCCTAAGGTATTCAATGTATTCATGTATGGTATTCAAAGTGGCCTTGTTATAGTGTGTTTGAAATCTGATGAAAACTTGGTTTTAAATTTTTGCTTTGTTGTACAATAATGCAAGTATTTGTACTCACTATGGCTCAGCATTGAACCCAAGACCTATTTACACCATGTGAGTACTGTACTTATGTTTTAATACTCACTAACTAAACCTGAGACCTCTCTACACCATGTGAGTATTGTATTTATGTTTTCGTACTCACTAATCTAACCTGAGACCTCTCTACACCACATGAGTGCTGTGCCTATGTTTTCGTACTCACTAACCTAACCTGAGACCTCTCTACATCATGTGAGTACTGTACTTATGTTTTCCTACTCACTAACCTAACCTGAGACCTCTCTACACCACGAGTGCTGTACTTATGTTTTCGTACTCACTAATATAATCTGAGACCTCTCTACACCATGTGAGTATTGTACTTATATTTTCGTACTCACTAACCTAACCTGAGACCTCTCTACACCATGTGAGTATTGTACTTATGTTTTCGTACTCACTAATCTAACCTGAGACCTCTCTACACCATGTGAGTATTGTACTTATGTTTTCATACTCACTAATATAATCTGAGACCTCTCTACACCATGTGAGTATTGTACTTATGTTTTCCTACTCACTAACCTAACCTGAGACCTCTCTACACCATGTGAGTATTGTACTTATGTTTTCTTACTCACTAACCTAACCTGAGACCTCTCTACACCATGTGAGTATTGTACTTATGTTTTCATACTCACTAACCTAACCTGAGACCTCTCTACACCACATGAGTGCTGTACCTATGTTTTCGTACTCACTAATCTAACCTGAGACCTCTCTACACCATGTGAGTATTGTACTTATGTTTCGTACTCACTATTCTAACCTGAGACCTTTCTACACCATGTGAGTACTATACCTATGTTTTCGTACTCACTAACCTAACCTGAGACCTCTCTACACCATGTGAATATTGTACTTATGTTTTCGTACTCACTAACCTAACCTGAGACCTCTCTACACCACGTGAGTATTGTACTTATGTTTTCGTACTCACTAACCTAACCTGAGACCTCTCTACACTATGTGAGTAATGTACCTATGTTTTCGTACTCACTAACCTAACCTGAGACCTCTCTACACCATGTGAGTACTATACTTATGTTTTTGTACTCACTAACCTAACCTGAGACCTCTCTACACCACATGAGTGCTGTACCTATGTTTTTGTACTCACTAACCTAACCTGAGACCTCTCTACACCACGTGAGTACTATACTTATGTTTTCATACTCACTAACCTAATCTGAGACCTCTCTACATCATGTGAGTACTATACTTATGTTTTTGTACTCACTAACCTAACCTGAGACCTCTCTACACCACGTGAGTACTATACTTATGTTTTTGTACTCACTA